GCTGCAGCAGGAAGTTCCATCTGCTGCTAGCATGGAGCAAACCCTCCTTGTCTCTGTCCATCCAGAGGCCATCGCGGCCACATAGCTGCTGCCAGTGCAGAGGGTTGCACAGCACCGCACCTCTGCCCACCCGCAGCACAGACCCGTCTCTGTCGGCCAGTGACGCCCACAGAGTGATGCTCAGCCTCACCATACCTGTTTTCCAGTAAAGGAACCCAACCACTGGGTTGCGTACCAAGGACTCCCAAAACGCTGCTGTTGGCCTGATCTACCCCTGGAAAAGCTGAGCAGCCCAGAGCAAGTCCCCACAATAAGGGTCAGTCACCACTGATGTGTATCTGTGCTACAGCCAAACAGCACCAAGAGGTGACAAGCAAATTCAGATGGGAGAACATCACACCCTGACTTGGATCCTGACCCTTACACCCCAGGGGCTAGCAGCAACAGCTGAAAGGCGAGTGAGCAGAGCCGGGATGTGAAACAGCTAGAATCAGCTAAGAACACAGGGTGGTGATGAAATCTGTCACATGCACCTCCACCGCACCCAGGTGATCCGGGGTGGAATGCTCCCTGGCAAGGCGTGAGGCTCCTGCCTCGGGACCTGCACGTGGACGCTAGTTTGAACCTGAACTGAGCACTGTCTGCCAGCTGGCACAGGAGATCACATGGCAAGATCCGGGGCAGCCCTCCATCCCCACACCTTGTAGAGGCAGCGTTCCGGGGGACTCACAGCCTGCTCCCCTCCCTTGGGGTACATGGAGCCGCTGTTTTCCCACTGGGGCTGCTCCCGGCTTCCTCCACACACAGGACGGGGACTACATTTACAACTCCATTCACTGCAGTGCCGCTCTACCCCACACATGCGCCGCAAAGTTACACTGAGCCCTCATTGCAAGATTATAAATCACTCTGGAGAGCCTAATGTTTTCTGAAGCACCTCATGCACTTCCAGAAATGAGAACTCCCTCATACTCCATCTCTTTTGTTTTACCCAGAGGTTGCAACTGTGACAGACTCGATGCCTCTCTCCTTGCTTGTGCAGGAGCTCTGCTGCCTGTTTGTCTATAAAATTAATGCTTGGCCCCCACAGATCAGGTGGGAGAAGACCCAGGGGAGAATAGATCTAGCGCTGCTCCATAATTAGCCAGGAACCTAAGCCCCCTCCTCAGTGCTGCCTTCACCCTGTTCTCATGTTATCACTCCCTCTCACCCAGACCAGCTGCTCTGGTGATTAGATGGTTGTTTTTGGGAGAGGGAGGCAGAAGTCGTGACTAAAAGCCTGGAACTATGTGTTATTTTAAAAGGCATGTTTGATCCAGTGAAATAAACTGCAATTGCTTTCAGGGACAGAGGAAAGCGGAGGCAGCGGGGCGGGAAGGGAGTCCAGGGGAGGCAGAGGGGTGCGCCTGATGCCCATCGGGGCCACGAACGAACAGGAGGAAAAAGAGTTCAATTCCTGCAAGAAGGATGACAGCATCTCATCACCCTCTCCTCAGTCTGCAGGAAGGTGGATAATCATCCCTGCTGCTCAGCTCTGAAGCAAGCTGGCATTGCCCTGGAAGCACTGCCGAGAGAAAGATGAGGAAAGGCAGAAAGAGGAGAGAGGAAGAAGAGCCCCAGAGGAGGAAGAGCCCAGGACCCCATCTCTTCCCCTTCCTAACTGCGACCCAGAGAAGCAGATCCCCCTCAATGCCCCACAGTGTCCGAGTCGGCTGCGAGCAGGAGCCAATCCCAGTGCTGCTGAACTCTCCCCAGGACCTCCTGGCATGGCCTGTGTGGCGAGGCTGGGACACCTGGATGAGCCTGAGCATGGCAGCTTCCCTTTGAGATCACCTCCCACAGCCTCATCAGGAGGGATGCGATCAGCGTATTTAAAGCTGGGCATACCATAGGTCTGTCCTCTTCCACAGCATTAGCGAGTAGCTGCCAGGAGTGTTTTATGCCCTGCACGCGAGTGAGGTCATCCATGCGCCGTGGCACAGTGCCGAGGACCTGTGCCGACCCCTCTGCCAGAGCCATAACTAACATCCCGCTCCCCTGAGCGCAGCTCAAAGCAGAGTTGTCCTTTCTAAATGCACTCTGTCATAAAAAAGCTCTCCTTTCGCCCCTTCCAAAATTGCTGAAGCCTGAGGCTCATGCTTACTCCTGGATCAGTGACAGGGGTAAAAGCTGATGTCTCCAGGAACGTCAAGGTTAGAAATGCAACCATTGCATGGTTGTCTACTCTTCCAGTGAGGCATACCTCGGCTTCTTTTTATTTTGGCTGTACCGTGATCTATTTGAAGGTTCTTCAAATGCTTCCTCCCTGTATCCTTTGAGCCAACTACTTGGATTTATGGGTGGAAAATATGAAAAATGGTTGGATGTATTTGAAAAAACTTCTCCCCAAAACATCTTTGAAATATGTTTTCTGTAACTGTGTGGCATAAACTGAATTTATGACGGTCCGAAGCGCAATTAAGATTGTTGAAGTACATCTGTGATGAAAGGCATGATGCACCTAATAGACTTCACATCTGTAAGGCCAGCTCTGACCTGTGCTTCCTCTACATACACAGAAATGTATGCACGTACCTTGACACAGGCTCCAGCACACAGAAGTAAATGGTCGGCAGGCACGTGTTGCTGGCAGGAGGAACCACAGACCAGATGGATGAGGGCTGTGGGAAGGTGCAGAAATGTGCCCTCCAAGGGCTCTCCCAAGCAGCACCCGGCCAGCGGACGGGGCGTAGGGTTGCATGTGCCAGGCTGAGTGCAGCTGGAGAGGAAAAAGTCATCTTCTGTTGCAGCGTCTCTCCTCAGTATTCCAGCTCAGCTGACTGACATGCAAATTAGTTTAATTATTTCTTCTTCTAAAATAAATTATATTTTGCAGTGGCTGCAATATGTTGTGTCAGGTAAAATTACATTCAATATTTTTAAACTAATTGATGTCAGCCTTGAGAAAACCTGATTGACAGCACCGAGGAAACTAGGTTGCTACCTAAACGCTTTCCTAAATTAAAATTAAACATGCCGTTTTTCTGCATTTCCTTCAGGAGCTGGAATGCTATTAATCTGAAAAGACTGAGGAAACAGACATGGAAAATACACAGAACAAGGGGAAGATGCTGGAAACGTAACAGTGCAGTACAGGAGCTCCAGGCTGATGACTGGCAGCTGCCTTTGCCAACATGGGCTGAATTATTTCAGAGCCGCTGAAGCCTGCTGCTGGTGAGGGACAGAGTTCTGCTCATTGTTTCCTTGCTGCAGCATCTGCACTTTCCTCAATACTACAAACAGTGCAGCTCAGAATGAGCAGCAAGGGCGGCCGGACCCCCTGTGCCACTCGGCAGGAGCACAGCGCAGGGACAGGGAACGCCCTGGCTTTGGAGCAGGAGAAAGCCACGGTCCTGCTGCATGGCGACACCGAGGCCGAGACTCAAATGCTCTGGCTGAATTTTCAGCCGCATCCCAAAGTATTTTTTCTTAATTTAATTCATCTGGAAAGTAACCTGAACAGGACAATATTCTTGTCTTAAACGTCCAGATGCCAAACACCAACTGCTTGCCCTCTCCCTGGGTTTTGGACAGCCGACTGCCTGCAGGACTGATGCCAAGCAGCTCTGGGCAACTGCTCTCAAATGCTGGAAGCTTTGCAGCAGAAGCTAACAGTGATAGGAAGGCATTGCTGAGATGCCTGGCCACCGCTGCCACGGCAGGAAAGGAGGTCCATGGTTACTGCTGCGCTGGGACCTAGTCCTTACCCCTCCAGACCCTCACACAAACTCACAATAAAGCACTTTGCATTTTTACACCCAGACCTCTACTCTGAAGCTCCAAATCCAACCATTGCTGAAGCACACATACCATTTGCACTCCTGCCTGCACACATAGTCATGTAGCGATGTCACACGTGGAAAGGCACCCTGCAGCTTTCCTGGGATCCGAAGCACAGTTTGAGGGAAGCCCACAGGACCGTGGGCTGCTGCTCGCGGCTGCAGCAGCTGGGGAAACACAGCTCATGGACACTGTCGGGCACAGTGTAGGACCCGCTCTCTTCTGCGTCAAGACTAGATTGGTACAATACTGGATTCAAAACTTTTACATTAGTAGGGAAGTCAGAAGAGGCAGGGGTGGAATCTATTCCTTGCTATCTCAGCAAATCGGGAGAACAAAATGCAGAATAGAAGAGCGGGATGGGCCACTCTGCTTTCCAGTGCTCACACCATGGCTATGGAGCACAGGGTGGTTTTGTAGACGTCAGTGCAGCTGCCTGACTGCAAAGCGGAGCACTGATGGCAAGGACAAAGCAGGGGCATGCCAGGGGTACGGCTCCTCAGATACAGGCAGCTACATCAGAGGCTGGAGCTGAAAACGTGGCTCCCAGCTGAGGGGAAGCAAAGCGGAAGCAGCAGTTAAGCCAAGTAACATACAAATGGCGCTCACCTCTCCCGAGTCCTGCCCAAACTCAGCAGCATGAGAGTCATTAAATCGCATCCAAACACAATGCTCTGATTAAAGCCAGTCTCCAGCAGGAAGATTTATCATCTCAATTACCAGCAGTGGACACAGCAGTCAAGGCCTCATCATTTTACATGAGCAAAGAGGAAAACAGGAAGAGAATCACTAATATTAGCCCAAGGAAGGTAAACAGCTTATGAGCGAGATGAAGATTTATCTCTGGAAACGCTTGGCCTGGTCCCAGGCCAGATTTGCCGAACAGCCCCCAGGCTTCCTGCTGGCTGCCACATTGCAAGGCCAAATATTCTGCTGGTTACCAG